TTTCTGCTAACTAGTTTTTTTTCTGGTCCTTTAGTTTTCTTCCCCTTTGCTATCGGTAGAACCCAGCTAAAAACATTATTTACGTCCTTGTAAAGGTGTTTTAATTTACTGATTTTTCAACGCTGATCCACTTTTTCTAGTGAAAAGCATGGGTTTAAATGCGAACATGTGATTTTATATCCCCTCAAACCGGCGCTTTACGCACCACATGCGTCGTTTCCCCCGTCATTTGCCCCGGGGGGGGGTGCTTTTGCCACTAGTTTTTCACCAACAATGTGTCTGCTACGACTTACCGATTTTGCATAAAGCCAGTTGCTTTTGTAGGTAAAATTGTTGTCAGATCTGCAAAAAGCCAGGGGTCATGGTTTGGTTTGCTTCAAAAGGGTAATTTTTTCCTTTTCGTGGTTTGGTTTAATCTGGACTCGGAGCTGTCATGATGCCGAGTCAAAAGACTTTATCCTCTGTGTAATTCGGTTGCCTGTTTCTGCAAACCTTATCTCTCAGGGAATATTAATGTTTCACGGACGGTTCGATGCTTGAACGCTGACTACGGGATGCCAAACACGCGACAGTTAATCATTTTAAAATGGGTTTATTCCCTTTTCAAAAGTCCTTTTAAGGCACGATTTTTTACATTTATTTTCAGGTTAGTGGATTTTTCATCTGAGCATGATGTCGTTTTATCGTGGATTCGTAATTTCTTCGAAGAACAAAATCGTAGTTTATGGGGACTTTTCTTCATTCATCAGCATATGCATTACTGACGTCACGTATATTGGCACGTGCTCTTTAACATTTTTTGATGAGCGGTTGCGTCAAGTGGAATAGCAAATAAACCAGCTAGGTTTAAGAGGAAAATAGATAAAATTCGAAATCGGGGCTCTTATTTTTGCCTTCATTAAAGCCATAATTCGCCTTATGACCGATCTTTTTTAGGGCCCTCTGAGCTCACTACTTTATTTCCAATGTGTAATACCGATTGTGGCAAGCATCTCAATGATCTTGTTTCCTATCAGCTTTGTAAATAACGTCCACTGTTTTGGAAGCATTTAACCCTCTCTTTCAATCTTGATACATATTTGACGTTGAATCCATAAAATCACTGCCTCCCTTTACGCTCTGCCGGTTGTGGCGCTGCAGTTGCTTCTAAAATCCTGAGATCTATGGGTCTGGAAGTGGGTGACGTAGATATCAGTATGAAAGACTTAATAATTCCGTGTAGTTACAAACATAGTTGGGAATGCAAGGAAGTAGGTGTTATAAAAGCACAAAAAGGTTAACAGACTTGAGCTTCAAGTAACGTGACCGGGTCTTCATGCAGTAAGCGTTGAAGCCGAGCCCCGAGTAACCAAAGAGCCCCTGTATTAACAATCCATTGGAACAAGCATCGGATGTTCTCCCTACATCTGCCTGGTCCGATTTGATTGAAATTTTGAAATACCCTGTTTTTTGTTGCAATTGGTAAAGTCTGTATTTAGGTCTGCGGCTGTGTACACGAATGAGTCACACAATTGCATGTGTCCGCTCCCACCCGCCGGCAGTCTCCATCCCCCGTCTTGCATCAGAAGGGCCCTATCCACTACCCACCACTGTCGTTGCTTTGGCCTTCGTTGGCTCATCTCTCTTCTCCCCAAGAGGGTAATCATTGAAATGAAATCCTGATGGGAGTTTTATTGCCTCCCGCTGCTCCTCTCTCTTGGCCGCAAACACTGGTGACGCAACCCACTGTGCCGTTAGTCGTGTCTCCAATTTCGTCGAGCCCCTCTGTATGTATGTGTGAATATGATGGATAAACAGTCTGAATATCTCGTGTTTCGTAGCTCCTGAAGCAATTACAGAAACGATTATCATTACCATGCGAATTTTTTTTCCTACTCTGTCCATCCATCTAATTTCCCCTCGGATATTGTTTCTACAGTGAAGTGTCTGGTCTTCAGTTTTTGTTCATCGTCCACTGTTTTACTGTCCTTTTTGAAAGGTTTCCACTTGTTTAACCATGGCCGCACTGGATTATTGGTCAAGAGGTAGAATCGACCATTCTGCAGAGTCCACAGCTTTAGCCGCCTGTAATGACTGCCTTTTTGTAGTGATGAACACAATCTACTTGACGCCATCATCACCCAATTAGATGCACGCATCAATGAAAGCAACCATATTCTTGTAGAGAATTATGGCAGGGCTGTAAGCAAGCATGCTGCCGCCGAAGTAGTTTTTGATTTATTTCTGAAAATGTTTCAAGAGTTTAGCTTGCTCTCTTTACAAAAGGGTCGGAAAACAAATAGTATAGGCGAAACGGGTAGAGCTCCATGCTGCCGGTGTGGAGATTGAATACCGAAAGACTTCAAAGAATTTTCATAATCGTGAGGAATTTTCCAACAGCTGCCATCCTCCCAGAATTCAGTCATATGATTTGGATTATGGAGTCTTTTATCAGTTGAATTAGAGTAGCAGAACCTTTTAAAAAATTCCTTACAAAATCACCTCCAGATGGCGACTCAATATTGTGAATGGTCGTAAGCTCCCGAATCCGCCCTTACGATTGGGGTAAGTGCGCCTGCTTTTCAAACTCTGCGGCCTTGTTTTGCTTTAAACTGCTTTTAATCGCTGCATTAAAGCAGTTAACAACTAACTAACCGAATTAGCAGGTTAACCTATTAATAAATTGGCCGTTTTAGTAGCTCTTAGACTTAACTTTTATTACCTCTGTCTACAATGGGTCAGGTAACTACTGATTTATCAGATCGTTCCAATACCTACAACTGCTCTAATAGTGGCGGTACATTTCCCCATTAAAACTATCCTCTCCGCATTTTTGTTACTTCGTCTGAGATTTATGAGGTGGTTTCTTGAGGCGCAGCTTTTCCTCAGTGAAATCTCATAGCACGCCTGCTACTAAGGTCTCGGAGGAAGATCGACCCCAAAAAGCAAAATATTTTGGCGTTTTCATGTTTTGTAGGATCTTACTGCAATATTCTACAAACTGAAATTGTTCTCAGTTAAAGAACATCCTATGTCATTTTATGGGTGATCGAAACGGTTACCATAAGCTGAAAAGAAACACGCGTCACATATTTGTGACGCCGACCTCAGAACAAAATCAGGGCGTTACATGTATGATGAACGAAAGCTATTCCAAATAAATTTATTTTCTATCCATGTAAAAGTTGAAGATACAGTAAAAAATGTTCATAATATCCCCTATTTAGTGTCATTTTTCCCCGCCTCCTTATATTTATTTCCAAAACATGAGTGGTTGTTGTGTTATCAGGTTAGTTTTTCTGAATAGTCTTTTTTTTCTAAATTTGCATTTTTTTTTTCATCTTTAAAATTAGGAGTTAAGAATCCAGTTTAGTTGAAATTCACCTTCTGCAATGCGCTGACTCAGTTGCATTAATCAGGCGTGGCTTCGCCCAATTTCTGTGCATTAGAGTAGCACATTTTTTCATTTGTTCGTCGCCCTAGGCACATTAATGATGTGACATTCGGTGATAAATGCCGCCATCACTGTCCCAAGTATCTTTTTGCATTCATCCTACGCTCTCAGACGCAGCAGTTTTGAAGTCACCTTGGTGCTTTCAGGTTCAATGTCCAAGTACCGTGTCACTCACGCGGAGTAAAATGTAAACGCTTTCCCCATATCAGTCACTAGACCGCAGCTCGGACAGTGCGTAGCGGTCGATTCCGTATGCGCTTGCGTGGGGTCACTGCACCGAAAAGTCATATTTCCAGTCTATGCGTCATCATTGACCTTTGGACGGCTTACTGCGGCTGTTAGTTAAACCTCGCTTCAGTCATAACAGGTCATACCAGTCTGGAGGTAGGCTTACTGAGGACGCATAGAGAGGGGCTCAGATGACAAGCAAGGTGCCATGGCGGAAATGTATTTAAGTGCACAGTTGAGGCGAAGCTGTTCTATTTTAATGTCCTGAAATATGCAAATTAGCGCACTCTCGTTTTCATTACGTATAAAATCAGAGCAATTCGCCCGCTTAGATGTAACTGGCAACATTTAATTGATTTAAACTCACTGATGATCAAAAAAGACAGACTGAAATGAAGTGAAAGCCTAGACAAGTTTGCGATTTCATTCCGGGATTAGTTACGAATCTTTTGTGCATTCTCATCTGTTGGTAGATTTTCCAATCAGTCTTCAATGCTTAAAATATCTTCAAATTCCCTTTTACCTTTCCTGTTTTTGACAAAGAAATTTAAACACCGCTAAGTGCCTGATTTTGCCTTTTAATTGATTCCTTTATGGAGAGAGTTTTTGACAGTCTACAAGTACAGGTCCAAATCATGCGTTGGCTGTGTGCTTATGGCGAGTAGCATATCTTACAAATTTAATGAAATTTGTAAATAAATTCGTATAACTTATTTCGAAGTTTGTAGTGGGTAGTCTCCCATTCCCCTACATCTTGTGCAGTAGAATCCATTATGTTTCCTGCTTTTTCCTCGCTTGGCTTGAATTTATAATAGCCTTTGGAGTACATAATTTCAATTTTCACAAACACGATTCTTTTAGATGGTGTCGAATTTTAACTCGCTTTTGTCATAAAGTTGAATTACAGATTAACATTTCCGTATGGCATGCTTTCGGTAGCTTGTTCGGGTAATTTCTCTCTCTTTTCGCTTGTATTCTGGTCCAAGCAGGCGAATTCTATTTCGGTGATGAACAAGGGAAAAGCCTATGATAGAAACTCAAAGGGCTTTTCTGATTATATGCACAAAGAGTCTTCTTAACAGGAGTCTAGTCCCAGGAAGATTTTGCGTTGTAAGTAAGGTGATGGGAAGCAATGTCTTTTCAATTTATCCGTGGTGGCTTCAAAACTTCTATTTTAAGACCGAAAAGTGGACATACGAGGGGTGTTCAAGCCACGTAGTGGTCCTTGGGGTTATGACGAAATAAAAAGTTACCAGGGGTGAGAGCTGCAT